TCGAGGTTCAGTATCTTGCTCAAGGATACTTCAACATGTGGCGGGAGGAGCCAGGGATCCAACCACAACCTTTTGATTAGCGGACGGCCCGCTCTGCCTCTGAGCCACAGCCAGTGAAACATGCGTCACACCCTGAGTTTAATAATTTGCGCCCTTAATGTGAGGTGCAACGTGATCTTATAGGTACACAGACTGCATGGGCATCTCCAGGCGCACCTTCTACTTTGGTCTATGTTCAGCAGTGCAACCTTCAAAAGGGTTGGGTGACGGTGAATATAGATCACAGGTGGCGATTATTAAATACTGTATCAAAATAAAGACTGATTTGGTGAAACAACTTTTATTATTATAACCTATCTTACTGACACTCTTTTAGTAATAATTCTAATGTATCTCACCTCGTACATGGTCACGCATCACTATTCAGTGTTACACAACAGTGTTTGCCTTGCAATGTGTTTCACGGATAAAACATGAGACGCTATGTTTACCAAAAAAGAAAGTAGGATAAGCCCTGGTAACTGGATGTTTCCTTCATAAAAAAGCAGAATATCGAGTTATATCTAACCAGTCTGATGTAGTCCTTGCAGGCTCACTCAGTCCCACACTTCTTGCAGTAACATCCTTATGGAATAACATCAGGCCGGTATCGAAAACACAAGATGGCACAGTGCCTTGATCACCTGACATTTAATTCCATATATTCAAATTAAAAGAAATTCCTTTTTTTTTTAACTGGGGTGGCACAAGTGGGGCACTGACTTTCGCAGGGGTGACATGAAGTATGTGTCTCAGCTTTTCAGTAATTCCCAATTTATGCAATTCACATACTGTTTATGGACCCCAGTATGCAAAAATGCTAGCACGCAAACCCGGTCTCACACACAAGTTTTCAAATACTGCTGCTTGTTCAACAAGGTTATTTTAGTTAACTAAAACTAAACTAAAAACTAAAACTAGGTCTGAAAAAACATCAAAAATATGTATAAGTTAAAACTAGACTAGAGAAAAAAAGCTTTATTTTGAAAGTTTAATCAGACGTTGCATATTTATTCTTGCTAACTTGACCATGGAGCCCTCTGCTTCAAAACATGACGCTGTACCTGAGCATTCAGAAATGACGCTTTAGGTATCCCTCTTGCGTTGAGAGTGAGAACGTGTTGGCCGCACTTCTCATCTCATCTCATCTCATCTTTATCCGCTTATCCGGGATGGGGTCGCAGGGGTAGCAAGTCCAGCAGAGGGCTCCAAACTTCCCTTTCCCTGGCCACATCGGCAAACTCTGACTAGGGGATCCCGAGGCGTTCCCAGGCCAGTGTTGAGATATAATCTCTACACCTGGTCCTCGGTCTGCCCTGTGGCCTCATCCCAGCTGGACGTTCCAGAAACACCTCCCTCGGTAGGCACCCTGAAGGCATTCTCACCAGATGCCCAAACCATCTAAGCTGGCTCCTTTCGACGCAAAGAAGAAGCGGCTCAACTCCGAGTCCCTCGCGGATGTCCGAGCTTCTCACCCTATCCCTAAGGGAGACGCCGGCCACCCTCCTGAGGAAACCCATTTCGGCCGCTTGTACCTGCGATCTCGTTCTTTCGTTCATGACCCATCTCTCATGAGCATAGGTGAGGGTAGGAACAGTGATCGACCGGCCTCGCCTTTCGGCTCAACTCTCTTTTTGTGACAACTGTTCGATAAAGAGATCGCAAAACTGCCCCTGCTGCCACAATTCTGGCCAATCTCCTGCTCCATTCTACCCTCACTCTTGAACAAAACCCAGAGGTACTTGAACTCCTTCACTTGGGGTAAGGACTCACTCTGGACGCGGAGTAGACAATCCACCGGTTTCCTGCTGAGAACTATGGCCTCCGATTTAGAGGTGCTGATCCTCATCCCAGCTGCTTGACACTCAGCTGCGAACCGATCCAGTGAGTGCTGAAGGTCACAGGCCGATGATGCCATCAGGACCACATCATCCGCAAAAAGCAATGATGCAATCCTCAGCCCACCAAACTGCAACCCCTCCCCCCCACGACTACGCCTCGATATCCTGTCCATGAAAGTCACAAACAGAATTGGTGACAAAGCGCAGCCCTGGCGGAGGCCAACACCCACTGAAAACGAGTCCGACTTATGACCAAGAATCCAGACACAACTCTCGCTTTGGAAAAACAGGGATTGGATGGCCCTGAGAAGTGGCCCCCTCACCCCATACTCCCGCAGCACTTCCCACAGAATATCCTGGGGAACCCGGTCATATGCCTTCTCCAAATCCACAAAGCACATGTAGACCAGATGGGCATATTCCCAGGCCCCTTCCAGGACATCTGAGAGAGTGAAGAGTTGGTCTGTTGTTCCACAACCAGGACGGAACCTGCACTGTTGTTCTTCAATCAGAGGTTCGACAATCAACTGGACCCTCCTTTCCAGCACCTTAGAGTAAACCTTCCCAGGGAGGCTGAGTAGTGTGATGCCTCTGTAGTTTGCAAACACCCTCTGGTCCCCCTTTTTAAATAGGGGAACCACCACCCAAGTCCACCACTCCTTCGGCACTGTCCCTGACTTCCACGCAATGTTGAAAAGGCGTGTCAACCAAGACAGCCCCTCAACACCCAGAGCCTTCAGCATTTCTGGGCAATCTCATCAATCCCTGGGGCTTTGCCACTGTGGAGTTGTTTGACTACCTCAGTGACCTCCCGCAGGGAAATTGATGCAGATCCCCCATCAGTCCTGCCTCTATCACAGAGGGCGGGTTTGTTGGTCTAGTCGGGTTCAGGAGTTCCCCAAAGTGTTCCTTCCACCGCACAATTACCTCCTCAGTTGACGCCAGCAGTGTCCCATCCCCGCTGTACACAGCTAGAATGGTTCCCCGCTTCCCCCTCCTGAGGTGTCGGACGGTTTTCAAGAAGCTCCTGGGTGCCGTCTGAAAGTCCTTCTCCATGACTTCCCCGAACTCCTTCCACACCCGCTGTGTTGCTTCCCTCACTGCAGTCCTTCGGGCCTGTCGGTACCCTGCAACTGCCTCGGGAGTCCCCCGGAATAATATATCTTGGAGAGGCAAAACATGACACTGCCACAATGGACTGGTGTGTGTATTACACACTTTGGCATGGTACTGGGTTGTCCAGCTGCTACTTGCTGACTGTCACCTGTGGTTGGTCCTCTGAACCTGTCACAATGAAGTTGCAAGCCAAGCAGGCTACTCTGTAACTTTGGGAATGTGGATCTAAATAGTTATCTTAGTGTGCAAGAGCATGTGGGTGTTCTACACTTTGCAACCTGGGGGTCCCTGACTACAGTGTACTCTAATCACTCCCCCTATGTAAGGAACATAGATAAGGTTTGTTCTTGCAATCAGTGCACACACACAAACATACATGCAGTCCTCTGCTGCAGAAATCACCTTGCTATCAAAAAAACTAAAACCTTTTCAAAGTTTAATAAAAGCTGACAGGGAGACTCAAGACACACTGTCTGTCTTTAATCAGCTGAGTGTTTTGTTTGTGTTCTGTACAACATATAACATACAACATATGCAATGCACAAAAAGACAGAGATGAGTTTAAATTAGAATTTTATGGCTCTATATGTTTTACCAGTGCAAAGCGTTAGGTCTTAGGTGCAAAGATGTCTGAGCATCTCCAACCTCACCTATTTTGATTCATGTCCAGCAGCACAAAGTGCAAAAGGGCTGGGTGAAGTGAAATGTAGATCAGAGGGTGATTAATGAACACACTCTCAGCCAATCACATCACTGGCCCGATAACTTTGAAAAAGTCAAGACAATATAACTGGAGGCAGTTTCATTGTCACCACAACTTGGCAGCCAGAGGAGATAATGTGACGAAAACTATAAAAACAGGAGAAATAGATAATTAGTGCCAAGGCTCAAGGGATTATTACTAATGAAAACATACCTATGAATGTTATATTTCATTTCTGACAATAGATCCTCCTAAATGTTACACACTAGACCTTGCATTGTGTTGGTCTGGAGTGGCTCACTAGTTCCTGTATCTGTCTTAAAAACTGTTCAGAACTGAATGTCTGTCTCCTCTCTGCTGCTGTGTCTTTGTAAAGTCCTCTGTTTTGGGGCAGAGGGCTGCACTGCTGAAGCCACAGATAAGGCTTTCAGATAATGAGGGGGTAGAGATAACCAACCCGCTGCCTACGTTGATCTGCAGCATCAGCTATCTGAACCCTTATCGGACCACACAGGCCTCGCTCCTTCAATCTCTGTCCTTCTGTTCAACTGCGGGGCACCTTTTCTCTTTTGACTTTTCTCTCACTCCCTCGTTTGACCCTCTCATTCTTTCTCGCCCCCGTGTCTCTCTCGTCCATCATCCAATCACCAGAATGCTAGTGTAGATCCATATCGACTTATCGAAGGGGCAAAATGGCCAAAGGGGAAACGAGGCTAATTAAATTGATAGGGAAAATAAATGTTGGTCTATGTGGTGTGTTTAGCTGGCAGGCTCGATTGCCATGTGCTGTTGTATGCACTTGTGTGTGTGTGTGTGTGTGTGTGTGTGTGTGTGTGTGTGTGTGTGTGTGTGTGTGTGTGTGTGTGTGCGTGTGTGTGTGCGTGTGTGCGCATCAGTCAGTGTGGAGAATCACTATGATAAGGGAACAGATTTAGTAGGGATTGCTGGGCAGAGTGAAAGCTATCTGTAATGAACAACAATGGACCTGACCTTGAGGGAAGTAGGAATCTTTGAGGAAATTCACTTACTGGTGTAGCTAATGCTGTTGAAGCTGTGACTGCTTGTGTGTATGTGACTATGTGTGTGTGTGTGTGTGTGTGTGTGTGTGTGTGTGTGTGTGTGTGTGTGTGTGTGTGTGTGTGTGTTGAACTGAATGCCGGAGATACAGGCTTTTATATTCTGCATATAGTACACACAAGAGCAGTGGCTATTGATTGAGAAATTGAGGTAGTATAGACTATTCTAAGTCTAAACAGACAAACATACACAGACAAATGGATCTATAGTAGCAGTAAACTTACCTCTATGTCGGTTGGTGGTTTTGTCGAACATTAGCATGGCATCCTCTACCTGAAGGAAAACAGGAAGATATGTTAGACTCCATGTGAACACACAGCACCAAAAAAAAACATTGCATCTGTAAAAGCAGCATACAGAGGCAGTTTGTGAAGTGTGTCAGAACACATGGGCCTCTTGTTATCTATGCCCAGCCTGCTGTCATCACTGCTCAGGATACACTGCTGTCCCATCATCAACACACCTCACACTCCATAAAAGCAGCTATTTTATCAAATTCGCTGTCCAGACTGACAAATCCTGACTATGGTAACCGAACTACATCTTTTATCTGTCTGTGTTATTTTAGGGTCCAGGAGCATCAGGGTCTGTTGGGATGTAATGGTGTTTGGAATGTGCAGGGGTAGCAAACCTGCAGCTCTTCAGTCCCTCTTCAGTGGCTCCCTGTGGCTTTGGCACAAAATATAAAAATGTTTTTAATATTTCATTGATATATCGTTGAATTCTATTCTCCAATTATAATAATTATGTAAAGCAATGTAATTGTGGGCCTATGTGATGGTACCAGCTTTAGCTGTTAAATATGTGATGCTTCCACCCAAACTCTTTGTCTTTCCTATTCCACGCAGGGGAGTGTCTCGAGGGGGGCCTGGGTGGACAAATCTGACTGGCCACCCCATGTGCCAAGCCATTATCCTTACCTGTTCTACTCGCACTCTTTTAGAGGCTGTAAGGTTGTAGTGGTCCCTGTTAGCTCTCAACTAGAGTGAAGATACTGGTATCATATGAATCTAGACCATTCCATGCTAGCATGTTGGTAAGGGGCTTAAATAACACTGCAAAGTTAGGCTAAATTTTGGTAATGGAAAAACTGGCATCGCCATTTTCAAAGAGGTCCCCTGACCTCTGACCTCAAGATGTCTGAATGAAAATGGGTTCTTTGGGTACCCACAGGTCTCCCCTTTGCAGACTTGCCCACTTCATGATAATCTAATTCAGTTTGGAGCAAAAAAAAGCACTTTTTTGCATGTGGTATAAATGTGTATGTGAATATTTCTGCATACTGGGGTCCATAAACAGTATTGGAATTGCATTAATTGGGAATTACTGAAAAGCTGAGACGCATACTTCATGTCACCCCTGCAAAAGTCAGTGCCCCACTTGTGCCACCCCAGTCAAAAAAGTCTGAACAAGCCCCTGCTTCCATAAAAAAACACTGATGGTTTAGGTTTAAACAAAGGTTCAGAGACAACCCTAATACTGCATGAAAACAGAAGTTGAATACAGAGAAAGGGCAATGAGGGGGAACAAAAGGAAATAGGGAAAATTAAGGAAAATAACTACAAGAGAAATAAGCCTGAGAGAGAAAAAAGAACTGGCGGGCAAGGGAGAGAAATCAATATTCAGACAGTGAGATTCTTTCTGAACCACACTTTATCCACTTTTACCTGCAGTGATTAAACATGGAGCCGTGTGCTACAGCAAGAAGTCAAGAGTTCATTTTGAACACGACTCACTCATAAAAACACAACCAAAGCACCACTTTGGTCAAATAAGTCAAGTAAATAGTAGAGTTCCAAAAAAAACATTCCCATCTACCATGCAGTCTTCTTGGTCACCCAGACCTGAACAAACTTTGTTAATGTCACCACAGATACTGCATTGGAACCAAGCTCCTGGAAATCAAATCTGTTTTTAAAATGAAGGCTGAAGGCCAGATTTACTGCAGCTTTTGTGCCTGTTTTTTAGGTCCAGATGTGAGGCAGTCTGCCACCAAAGTAAATGTTTTGAGAACCAGATCACTGCATATCATTTCTTCTCTGAGCCTGATGATCTCATTGAACTGTGCCCATGAGCTCTCCTTCAGTCACAGGTTCAGCACCATGATCAGTCCACGAGTTGAATGTGTAATGAGCTGCTGTTTTAGTAAATCTGGAGCTAATATACATGCACACTGCTGCCACATTTGCACAAAGCCATTTTCTTAGTAAATCTTGCCCAGCGGGAGGACAGCACGCAAGTACAGAGGTCACTGACATACATACTTAATAGACTTTTCTTTTACAAATTCAGTGTTTTCTTCTCATTGTTCTATCAGCTCTTTGTTTTTTTTCACTTTTCTAATCCAGGGCGTGGTTGTTTATCAGAGAGTGAAGCTTCCGCCAAAGTTGTGTTCAGGTCTCACTAAATCAAAACTAATCTTTTAGTGTTTAACACACACATGTCTAACAATATATATCACCTATACTCTAATATCTGGCCCAATAATGACAAAAAAAATAATTTCTTTAGGTATTTCCATGTATTCTTAATGGTATTGTAGAGTGAGTCATTTCCTCAAGAAACAATAAAAAATTGTTGATGACTCATCCTGCACTCAACTCCCTGTGATTTACAGAGGGCAACAGAACCGGGCTCAGTAGCTGGACCTGACCAGGACTGAACACAGCCTCTGAGACCAACAGGGAATAACATTACAGTGCCACTGCCATGGTCATTTACAGAGTTTACTGATTGAAACATTGATAAGTAGTCAGCGCTGTCAGTGGTCTTGCTAACCTAACTGACTCAGCCCTGGGTTGCCAGGAGCCAAATCCAGCAAACAATCACCTGGGTACTGTATTCTCTGTCAAACTGGCACCGTTTGTCTCAGCGATTGTGTCCGGGTCCAGCTGTGTTCACTGGAAGGTAGATGCTGATGCAAGCTCACTGTGGTAGCTGCATATCAGAGGGGGTGTAACACACACGCTTTTGGCTGCTGTAGACGCCAATATCCAGTCCCTCAGCAGGAAGGAAACAGGAAACACCTAAATATGAGGAAGCAAACAGCACTCTGCCTCCTGTTCCATGGGGACTTTTTAACTTTAAAGTTTATATTTTAAATAATAATCAAATCTTAAAAAATATTATTTCATTTAGTTTTCTTCACAGAAAGTAAGGAAATGTTGAGATATATGCCTACTGTATATATTATTAAGTTTTCAAACACAAGTCCAATTATAGTCCACAATCTTTGATTTTGTGACAGAATGTGGAGGGCAGAGACACACAGACATATTGTTGCTCTGAAGGTTAGCATGGCAACACGGCTGTATTGGCTGTGGCCTGGGGAATGTTTGCTGAGCAACAGCAACAGCTCATATTCCCAGTGACAGACACCAAATCTTTCCCTCTCCGTGCGCACAGGCAGAACAAAAACAGAGCCTTATTACTTGGAGCGTGAATTCCAAAGTGTGATGAGAAACACGTGAGGCCACAAAAGATGTGCTGCTCCAGCTCTCACACAAAGGAGAGTAAATCTAAACAAAGACATGGAGTGATGCAGGGTGAGGGATGACTTGTTGACAGGAGAGAGATGTGTCACATAGTCTTTCCTCGTCTCCCTGTCTACTTTGTTCTCTTGCTTTGAAAGAGGTTTTATCACATTTGATCATTTAAAAGGCTCAAATTTCAGCTCATCAAGTGTTTTTGTACTCATCACGTTGCCAATCTCTCTGGGAAAAAAATTTAAACTGAACAAAGCAAAAGAGGCAGAGAGATCCTGTAAATGCGGGCTAGAGGCGTTACATGGATCCACCTTTCTGGAAAGCAGCCGCATTTCCTGGGTAACCTTGGGTCAGCTGACACTAGCAGGGGTTATTAGCCCATATCTGTAAATATGAAATGAAGAGATAAGAGTGCAGCAGATAAGCAGAAACTGACTGAGCCTTTGAGAAACAGCCTATCTAAACTTTCCATGCCTCTGCTTACTGTTTTATCCTAACCCTCCTCTGAAGAGCTGCACAGAAACTTTTTCTTTTTTAAATGTCACCGTTTTATCAACCAAGACTGTGATAAGAGCTCTCTTTTTAAAAAGGTCCTGGGTATCACCTACTGAGGAAAAAAATAGTCCCGAACTTTCCTAACTATCAGCTACAATTTCACACACTCCCGAAAATCCATCTGTTTGAGCCCAAATGTTCTCACACATAAACTGTAGTGAAGTACTCATCACATAAAACAGATCTTGACAAAAGTGTCACACACTACTGGGATGAATATTACACTACTATTTACTACATGTAGATGAGGTTCATAAAGCCTTTCTTATGCTAACAGGAATCCCCCTGGCTGAATTTAATTAATGTTATTATTACAGACACTGGTGGACTTCCAGTGGAGAAAATGTGATGAAGTGCCCTCTGGGGTGCCCTCCCACTGGAGAAAACCAGTGCCTGAAATGGGCATCAGTACTGAGTACTGGCACTTTTTTGAGTTTTGTCCACATGGGTACCCTAACTTCTTATCGGGTACCACCACCTCTGATGAGCATGGCCTCAGTCTTTTTTGAAGAGGGGTATTCAATAAAATTTGTGAAATAATTTCTTTAAAAACTATTTTCTTTGATGTTTTGAAGTGCAGCCCCAACCCCTGCCTAGCAAGTTCAGTTTTTCTACAACCAGAAGAAAACATCACTGAAAATGTCCTTATTAAAAAAACGGCAAAAGAATTAGAATTAGGGCTATGTTGTAGGGTTAGGGTTGAGCTGAACTGGGGTACTGGCACCTTTTTTTTGTCCAATTCAGGCACTGAAGAAAACATAACCTCTAGGGTGCTAATCCTAACCCTGATTTAGCTGTTTTACAAAAAGCATACTGTTATCACTTGTGCTGATTGAAAAAACACAATAATGTGATGTTTTAAAACATTAAATATCAACATACGATATACTATGATATGATAATAATGTAAATAATCCAGGGTCTCTTACATCCTTTCCATTTATTTTCATTCTGGCTTTGTAGTTCACACTATGGTGGTTCTAATTGTTCAGTTATGGTTACAGACCCTCTCTCTATGTCCCAAATTTTTAGTGTGTGAACTGATCATTCTTTTTTTTAAGTATTTTTTTTGGCTTTATTGCCTTTATTTGATAGGACAGCTGAAGACAGACAGGAAAGGGGGGCAGAGAGAGGGGATGACACACAGCAAAGGGCTGCAGGTTGGATTCGAACCCTGGGCCGCTGCAGCAAGGACTCAGCCTGGGTACATGGGTCGCCAGCTCTACCCACTGA